AGCCATTTTTGTTTACCACACCACGCATAGGCGTACTATTGTACTTATTTAGTAAAAATGTTTTTACATCAATTGTGTTATGTCATTTAACGTAAAAGAATAATACAAAAACATGGTATCATACGACATACTATGCACACATCGTAAGGTTCTAAAATGATACTACTGAACTCGCACAACGATTTAGTTATATTAATATTTTCCAAATGTTTGTTAGAAAATCGATCGCTTTAATTTTAATATATTATAAATGTATAATACTCGTATCTATACTATGTTACATTTCTTACATCCAAACGTTTGTATAAATAAATGTTTAAAGTATACAAAATTCATTTAAAAGGAACTTATATACCACAAAATCACCTGGTTTCATTTAGTACAAAAAAGGAAAGGTTTGATTACATTTATTAAGGTAATAATTGTATTTTGCCGTTCGCCAAATCTAAATTAGATTAATAAAAAATCCAAACAGGACAACTATTGAATTTTAACAACTGTACACTTTGGTTTTGTAGTATAATTAACATTAACTTCTGCCACAGTCAAAAGATTAAATGGATTATGATTAGTTAACTCATTACCCTTTCATTTGTTGTAACAACGCTTAAACTGTTATATACAGATCTATGCTTCAGAAGAGTGTACTACCCATCACAAAGTAAATCTATCAGAAAATATATTAAACCTACAAATTTTTTCATCAAGTGACTATAATCAACATTTTCAAAGATTTTTGATTTTTTTGAAGTTTCAATTAAATGTGAAATATTTATATTTGCCGGAACTTTATCCGGACCCTTGGTTTTACTTACCATTGATTTATATCCACATTCAGAAGCCTTCTATCAGTCGACGACAATTATTGCCTGAGAAATGATAACCACGAATTATTGCATAAGATGAATTTATTTTCAGTTTGGTATATACGTGTATACTTGGCATAATACCATAAATACATCATAAATAGTACTTCGATGCTAGGCATTCTGCCCGAAAAGTTGGCTTAAGTATAACAACATGTTACGATATCTATTAATTTAAGACCGAGTAATTGGATGTTTAAAATCTTCAAAAAGTGTACCACAACTGGATCTGTGTAGAATCTTTTCAAATAAAATAAATATTATTTTACAGAGTAGTTTCTAATATTTTAAGCACAAAAATAACCATATACTTGGACTGAAGTTCCATTATTAAAGGCAAGCATTGTGGCGCAATTATTTCAGCTCTTTGCTTAATACTCGATGTTACAGCAACAAAGTTTTTCTTTTTCGCAAGGCGTAACATCAATGACTCGACTCGAAACTGAAATAACAAAAAAGTGATTTGTCTATTTTTTTAAAATTAAAAAAAAAACTGTACTTTCATACACGTGAACCTCTTGATAATACTTCGTAGAATTATATTCCAAAAAGTTTTGTGAGTTCACTCGTTTGACCGATCAAATCAAATTGTTGTAAAACGTTAATTGTACTTTCGACTTAAATTAGATAATGATCAACACTCAACAGTCTAAATGTTATTATTTTAATTTATATTTCAACTTATTATGATCGAGAATTCCTAACCATTGCCTGTATAACAAACTATTGCAGAATATTACTATCCGAACTATTGTATGCTCTGAACGAGTTAAAGAATTCAGACCGTGAATCGCAACTGTTATGTGTCTGAAATAGATTTACATTAATCAGTTTTTCATTAAACCCGGTAAAACTTATGGACAATAAATTCTATCTAATACTTTCAATAGCACAACTATCATTGTTGATAATATTATTTTGATAGTAGCCACTTGTACGTTTAAATGTGTCCATGTTGTTCAAAGCATTCTCACAACTCGGAGATTTTGTAATTGAAGTTCAAATTGTGCTGAATGTAGTAAATTTCTCATCACATACAATATTCAGTTCTGAATTTTAATTAAAACTGCTATTGTCATTATTTGGTGTTTGACTGTATGTCTCCATATATTGCTCGTACTTTGTTTGATCTGTGTTATTCACTATAAAATTTCTTGAAAAAGAAAAACGAAAAATACAATGAAAAATACATTTTGAAAAATTACAAATACTAACCTATCCGAGACATTCGATTTCTGACTAAAATTAATTTCATCGGTAATAGTTTTGGAAACATTTTTTTCACACTGATTTGAATAAGTATTACAGTGGTCTGTATTTTGGGAATATATAAAACATAATAAATAAATAAAACTAAATCAAATTAAGTGAAATATGTAAGTTTGCTATTTAATGTTATAATGTTGTATAAGGTAAAACATAGTTTTGGGAATTACTTAAATAATAATTGCAAATAAATTTGTATTTAAAATAATAATAAGTTATATCATATTTGGAATATTCAAACTAAAATGTATTTAAATAAAATATCATTTGAAATAAAGTATTTCTTGAAAATAAAAATGTATTTCAAATAATTATTTGATAATTAAATAAAATTATTATGTACCAGTTATGAGTTATGTACCATTTGGTTTTTATCACGAATTATCAGTATTCAGTTGTAAAAAATATTTGTATTTTTTTTTTTTTTTTTTACTCTTTAGTCCTATTAAAGGTATTTAATAATTGCTGAATAGATTACTAAATTAATTTTGAAGATTTGAAAAAAAAATGAAATTTTAGTGAAATGACCCCCACATTTGACCCTGTGTAGGGTGACCTAACTGTCTTTGCCCCAATATGATTACAGGTCATTGTATTGTCGTCCAATATGAGTGTCTGTACCAAGTTTCAGCCCTATACGACATTGGGAAGTGGCTTAAATTAATTTTGCAAGTTTTGAAAAATACCTGTACAAACGTACGTACGTACGGTACTAGTTAGTGAGCTAAAGAAAATCATGTAAAAAGTTTGAATACAAAAAAAGTGTGTGGCAGGTATTTGTTGACTTCAAAAAGGAATCAAATGGTTTGGGCACGTAATGAGAAGTTCAAACATAGAGTACCTAAATGCGACCGACGAGTTCCAATTTTACATTGAAAAACCATCATGAGAAATTAAAATGATGACAATTAAATTTCAATACTTTAATAAGATGAATTAAACACTTGTAATATAAAAAATTCTTTATCGGTTATTATCATATTACTATTTCTCCATGATATAATATTTTTTATAATATTCTTCCATGCCATACCTAACAACTCTATCTGTCTCTCTTTTACGATTTCGATATTCGGACCTCTCTCTCTCTACTATCAGTCCATTTTTTAATAGGTCTATGGTAAAAACTGCTTGTGTCGGCTATTTTGCAAATTCCAGATGTTTAACTAAAATATAATATTTTGATTCATATAACGTTTTCATGTTTATTGTTTCTCGAATTTACTAAGATTCAATATTTAAATGTTGTACTACCGAATTAGCTGCTAAACGTAAGTACTTTATATTATTTTATTTTTGATAATAAATTCTGCGTCGACTTCATAAAAATAAACGCCTATTCTTTTTCTAATTTTCGCTATAAGATTAATAAAGTATATTGTGCTGAAATCACCTTCTTATATTAAATTAACATTACTTCAGTGGTTAGTTTGAAATCATATCATTTATATGTACTTAAATGAAGTCATTTTAATCCGACTGCGGTGGAAAGATGGTTATTACGGATAGCGGTTCTTATTTAGGTTTAAATATCATTGGATTAAGTATGGCTACATCTACTAATTAAATTTCTCTTTATTTCTTTGGGCTTGGTGAAATAAAACACAAATAAATAGATTAAAAATGCACATACCATTACTAGCATTTTATGTAATAAGGTGCAAAAGGACCTAATCACAAATAACAGGCTATCACAAACTTTTGAAGAGAGAGATGTATAGTTTTTAAAGATATGAACGATTTTTTTTTTATAATTTATAATGATGTAATGTAAGCGTAAAACATAATGACCGCTTTACATATACTTAAGTCATAAAATTTAATAAAATAAAACAGCAAATTAAAATATAAAATAAGATAAATAATTTTTTTTTTAAAATACCTAGTATGTTTTGCATCGATATATTTTTCTTCCTATACTGATTACATGAGAAATAGTAACTTTTGCACTGTTGCCCTACAATTATTCAAGTTATTTTTAACAAATATATCATAAAAATACTTTTAAAGTGCAGTTTTTACTCACTTTTTTAACATTAAATTATGCTATTACAGTGGTTGAAAATTAATAAATATTCTTTTAAATATTAATATGCTTATTGTAGTTATTACTTATTATAAACGTATGAAAGACGTTTGGAGTGGGGTTTGGAGCTTTTACCAATGCCTAAATATTACAATGTTTAATATTATATAGAAAATAAAAGCACATAATAGAAAATACATTTTGTGTAACATTGTATATTTTTCATCATTGACATTGCTCTAAATTATGTGAGAAATCCTTCGGGGGATTAAAATTTTTACAATTAACTTAAAAACTAATTAAAAAAATCACTTCAAATAATTATGCAGGGTTATGAGAATTTATATATAATATTATTTTATTAGATTACATCTACGTTAACTATGAAGCTGATAATTGTTTGTTGATTTTTACATTGATAGATTTTAACTATTTTAATCGTATTTCTGTTATCAAAGCCTTAAATCTATATTAAACTCTTATTTTTTAGGTTCTATTAAACCGATTCAACTACTAATAAGTTTGAAGAACCTAAACATAATTTTATAAGTATAAACTTGCCGTAGATTAATATTATTATTTCACATTCAAGACAGACATTTATAGAAATTAAGATAAACCAGTTATAATGGATATACATATGGATACACTTTCCATTGGGTAAGTTTGATTTTGAATTGGAATTACGATGATGAACTGATTGTCCTAGTTTTTAACCATCTGAAAATCATATTTTTACTTCAAGAAACGCTTAAAATTCAAAATATAGTTTAAGAGACACCATTACATAACCTCATTAATACTCTACAAAAGCCGTTTTTATTGTTAGCAAACCAAACATCATGAATGTAAATAAATGGGAGGTCGACGAAGTGGATAATGACTGTTATTTCAAATCTACGATACAAATTGAAGAAAATCAAGATTTAGCAGTTATAAATGATGAATATGGGGACACTCTTTCTACTAGGTAAGTCCTTTTTTTTATCGCTATTTATATTATCAGAAAACAACAAACCGGTTTCAGTTTCTTTGCGGACTAGATAAGTGGTTCTTAAATTTATGATACTGTTTTCTTTGTCATAATATTTTTTAACAGTTCATGTCCAATATATCTTGGTACGTTATTATAATACAACAAGGATTTACTTCGACCCAAACAAAAATATAGTTTAAGAGACACCAATTTATAACCTTATTACTACTCTACAAAAGCTGTTTTTTGTTGTTAGTAAACCAAACATCATGGTTGTAAATAAATGGGAGGCCGACGAAATTGATACTGATTGCTATTTCAAATCTACGATACAAATTGAAGAAAATCAAGATATAGCACTATTCAAGGAAGAATACGAGAATACTCTTTCTACTGCGTAAGTGCAATTTTACTATTGTTATTTTGATAACCTCAAAACAAAACAAAGTGGCACTGCTGATATTTGTTGGGGTGACTTAGTAATATTTTATCTTTATTGACCACGCAAACAATGTTATCGTTTTCGAAGATACAATAGTATATATATAAATGATCGTGGCCATGATCGTTAAAAGTATTTTGAGTTTTTATCTTGATTTTATTGTTTTTTTTAAAGTATCTCTGGCTATCAAAAGTATAAATTATCAATAACTTTCCCAAAGTAATCAGCTTTCTGAATTAGATGTTGATTTTCCTATTCGCAAGACAGAAAGTCATTAAAATAAAATTTATCATCTAAAAAGATGTTTTTTATGTTGCCCAAAATTCGAGAATATTTTTTTTCAGAAAGATGATTATATTTTACATGAAAAAAATGATTTTTGGTTATTTTTTTTAATAAAAGGTGGTGTTAAGATAAATTTTTAAACACTTTTTACGATTATGGATAAAAAATTCTAAATATACATATAGTAAAAATATGAACATATGATACGTCACGTGAAAAAACAATCAAGGTAAATTATTTTAATTCCTTTTGTGAAATTTACTAACATACAAACTGACATTTTAGCAAGGGTTTAAACATCCATACAACGAGCAATAAAATTAAAGAAACATCAGTTAAACAACCAAAGACCATGACTATAATTAAACAGGAGGATGATGAAATCAGAAATGATTGTTTATTTGTATCTGAGATAGTAATTGAAGAAAACCAAGACTTAGAAAATTTCAAAGACCAAGATTTGCGTCCTCATTGCACTGAGTATGAATTGTATAAATATGGATAATGTTTCATAATAGATTGACTACAATTAAGTTATTATCCTAATATTTTGATTACTTTCCTTTTAGCAATACACTCAACAGTTCTATGAAATATAATCAAATTCAAAGTGGAGAAAATCCATTCAGATCAATTAAAAAATACAAAGTCGAAAAACCATTTCAGTGTGAATTAGGTTTAAAGACAATTTCAACTGAAAATATAACCAAGCACAAAAGGTCACAAGAAACCGAGAGGCTATTTCAATGTGATATTTGCAAGAAGAAATTTGCACAATTAACACATCTTAAAAACCACATAAAGACGCACACGGGTGTAAAACCTTTTCAATGTGAGCTATGTAAAAAGACATTTTCATATTCTGGAGATTTAAAAAAGCACAAAAGGACACATACTGGCGAGAAACCTTTTCAATGTGAGATATGTAAGAAGACATTTTCACATTCTGGAACTATTAAAATTCACAAAAGGATACATACGGGCGAGAAACCTTTTCAATGTGAGATGTGTAAGAAGTCATTTTCACAATCTGGAGATTTAAAAAATCATAAAAGGACCCATACTGGCGAGAAACCTTTTCAATGTAAGATATGTAAGAAGACGTTTTCACTTTCTGGACATCTAAAACGACACAAAATGACACATACTGGTGAGAAACCATTTCAATGTGAGATATGTAAGAAGACATTTTCAGATTCTGGAGATTTAAAAAAGCACCAAAGGACACATACTGGCGAGAAACCTTTTCAATGTGAGATGTGTAAGAAGTCATTTTCACAATCTGGAGATTTAAAAAAGCATAAAAGGACCCATACTGGCGAGAAACCTTTTCAATGTGAGATATGTAAGAAGACATTTTCACTTTCTGGACATCTAAAACGACACAAAAGGACCCATACAGGTGAGAAACCTTTTCAATGTGAGATATGTAAAAAGACATTTTCACATTCTGGAAATCTAAATAAACACAAAAGGACACATACTGGTGAGAGGCCTTTTCAATGTGAGATGTGTAAGAAGTCATTTTCACAATCTGGAGATTTAAAAAAGCACAAAATAACGCACACTGGCCAGAAACCTTTTCAATGTGACATATGCAAGAAGACATTTTCACGTTCTGGACACCTAAAACGACACAAAATAACGCACACTGGCGATAAGCCTTTTCAATGTGAGATATGTAAAAAGACATTTTTACAATCTGAAACTCTTAAAAAGCATACAATTATACACTCGGGTGAAAGGTCTTCAGAGTCAATCATGCTTTAACATGTTCCGAAATCTATAAAGTCATGCAATAATCATAACTGTCTGGAATAACCCATTCCATTTTGTAGAAATAATATTTTTTCGTTGACATTTTACTATATGTATCTAAATTACTTTCCGGCTCAATTTTTCATTTAAATAACACATTATAATATTCTACTGGTTTTATTTTATTTTATTCTATTTAAACTTTTGTAGCTTATTTTCTTCAGCTTGTATATATTTTCCGAATTAATTGTTTGTATTTTTGTTATTTATACTCGACCTGTCGTAATTTTAAAATAAGTATACTGACTATCTATATTAATAAAAATTTAATTTATTAATTTTTTTGAATAGAGCACTAAAAAAATAATACGATTTATTCATTTAGACCTTGTGTAGAACTTAGTTAATGATATTTTTTATCAATTTTATGTAAATAAAAAAATGAGTTTAAAAATTTAGTTTTATTTTAAATTATTTATCTATTCATTCATTCTAGTGCAACGTATTGTTCAAAATTATTAACTACAAAGTTATCTACTATAGGAACTTTATAGAGTCTACTTCTTAATCATAATTTGTTGTAGTAATTCGTTTTTACTGTAATGTTTCTTTAGCCAACATTACATAATTAGAATTTTGTATTTTAATACCTTACAATTAAACTTACAGAACAAAAAATGGTGACTGAATGGTATTTTATTAGGTAAAATAATTAAAAAGTTTACCTCTTCTCCTTTAAATTCGATAAAAAAGCAAAAAAAAAAATGTTTTATATATTTTTCAAAATAAAATTGCTCCATGCTATAACTATTTTTTTAATAGAAAAATAAAATGTATCAGTATATCGGGCCACTTCATTTTCAATATTTTTGTATAGGACAATATAGATTGTCTACATTGTCCTTATAGGACAATGTAGATGTTTTGTGAAGAAAATATTTTAATAACAACATCAATATTAGGTAAATAATAATGTTTCATGTTAGAATTAATTTAAACGGCTGGTTATATTTAAGAACTACTTGAATAGTTAAATGTTAATGACTTTTTCTTGAATAATTAAATTCTTTTTAACAAAATAGATTAGCATGAATAAAAACTAAAGGGTTTTAGAGTTGTAAAATCACCAATATTTAACATTAAACAGAATAAAACTTCAATCAAAATTACATAGACAATACCTTATAAACGTTATTTAAACTGCTTTATTTTTAAACTTTATGGTCTGGCTGAAAATCACAAAAAAACCAAACAAATGATGGTATTATACACCCATTGATTTTTAAAAACATTTTTTGATAATAAGGTTTTTTTTAATTAGCTAACGCGGTACATAATTTTAATTCTAAAATAAAATATATTTATGTATACATATGTATAAAATATTCAAACAATTTAATATTATTTAGTTCAATGGTTGAATTAGTTATTTAAAAAATGAATGGCTGTTTGGTTAATAAATATATATCTAATAGATTTTATGAAGATAATTAAAATAGCTTGTTAATTATTTATTATTGTTGGTGAATTAAAATTTTAAATTTTGCTAAAAGTACCTCCACAGCCATTGTACCCAATTAATAATAATAATATTTTTTTTTAACAAGCCACTAATTAACTCCTAAGAAGTATAACAAATTATGATATATAACAATTCTGTAGTTGACTTGAAGTCTTACGTAGGTATTGTGTTTTAGAAAATAGTAAAACATTAGTCTATCATATAATAAAAATAAAGATTGCGGTAACAATTTTGCAACAGTTAATTAATTGATTTTATTATTGTATGAATTAATATTTAATGACTTGTTTTTTGTTCACTGAATAATGATTATTAATAATTTAGTTTAAATTAGTACAAATGTGTTAGGTACAATTTTCTAAAATTATATGTTGTTTATTGTTGACATTTAAACATATTTCACATACAAAGAAAAAAACTAATTTGTAAAAAAAACCTATTCCACCGCCATGCGTAGTTAGACTTTATTTCAGGCGCAGTATGATACTTTTAAATGAGCAGTTGTCTTTACACACACGTTCACTTGAAAAATAAGAATGTACTTATATGTATGATGTTATAATGTTATGCAATAATGGACTAATTTAAATTGTCGTTTTGAGTTATATGGAACAAGATTTTTTTTTATTTAGTAATACTAACACTAATAGTACATTTTATTTTTTCTAACAAAGTTGGCTATAAATAATTTTTTTTTCTTTTAGACTAAAAATTTCTAACAAAAAAAATGTATGTATATAAAACTTCCTATCATTAAATTTTTTGTCATGGGAATGTCATTTTATAGGCCTTTATAATGACTTAATTCAATTAAAGAGAATTCCACACGAATATTTCGATATTTTTTACATAGAATTAGATATTTTTTTTAATGTCCTATTTTGTTTATAACTCTAGGAATCCGAATTTAATTAATTCGGTTTGAAATTAACCATATTCAGCAAATTAATAAAGTTACTTTTTGTAGTATAACAATTTTTTTTTATTTTTATACATGGAGAAAGACTATAATACAATCCAAACAATTCGACAATTGATTATCTCATTATCCGAATATTTCTACTTAACAAAAACGGACTCGCCGTTATTATTGTTTTTTGTACAAAATGGTAATTCTTATGTTTCTCATACCGAAAAATTACTGTATATAGCCTACTTCTATCTGTGTGAATGTACATTTAAAAAGTAAATCGGTCATAATTAATGTTAAGTAAAGGTTAATGACTGTATTTTTCAAAAATATAATATTATTGTTGGCCACGTGGTAGGACTAACTAAATAAAAACATGCAACCATTCTTATTTTCTTCAAAACGTTAGTACAGCTATGAATAATGAAAATCTCAATTTGGAAATTATGTCGGCTACAATAAAATACTATGTATGTAAAAACTGGAAAACATCCGCTTTTTATTATGTTATATTATATTGTTTTATTAGGTATATTATACCTAATAAAACCTATAACCTTTTTATTAACTGAAAAAATCATTCAATTACCACAATAGAAATTATGGTCTGATAATAGAAATATGTTGTGCAGCATGTTTTGGCACAGTTGAAAATTTCGCTGTAATAAATATATTATTACCGTTTTTGTTAATGTCTTATATCCGATTAAATGGCTAATAGAGTATAACAGTTACCATTTGTTGACATAATACAACTTCGGTTGTAAAGTGCAAATACCATGTTTAACCCGAAAATACGCATTTTGGCGGATATTAGCTTTTGACACAAGTCGCTGTAAATTGCGGTCCATTTTTAATGTTTTATGTAAATTATGGTATATTTTGTACTTGTATAATCCTATTAGAATGCAAATTTTTGAACTCTATAACAAAATAAATAGCATTTTGTAGTATTTGAAGGTAGTAAAATATAAACAAGTGGAACATAAACTCTGATTTATTAATTCCGAATGGATAATTTTAGATGGCCTAGTAAACGTATCGTCAACCATGACTGTATGTAAACTGCGTCCTGTTTCTAATCGCTCAGCGCCGTCACTTCGCTCCGCTAAACTAAAAATATTCTAGGTTCGCAGGCTACAGTTTAGGAGAAATTATTAGTCCATTTTTAGCTTCGGTGCGGAGCTAAGAAGGTTTACGAGATGTAAACCGCTGAGCCGATTTCTTCGAGTAGCAACTCTATAGATCAGAAATCATACCTGTAAAGTACTTTAAAGGGTCAAAAATTGAAAAAAGTCACCCCTTCCCCATAAAAATCGAAAAAACCTCCAAAAAAGTTAAAAAATTTTCTTAACTTAAAATTACGATGCTACAACTTAAAATAGTCGAAAAAGTATCAAATTTATATGAATAGATCTTCAAACACAATACTATCGATAAACATTAACAAAACAAAAAAATATCATAAGCTCTTTCCCCTAGAAAGGATGGAATTTTTAGAGATTTAGACCGAAGGTACATCCAAAACGGAACATATTACATATACAATTTTCTCAAAAATCTGTGGTCAAATTTATTTTTTTTTAAGGAAAAACCCCCAAAAATAGGGTAAATTTACACTTTGTCCGTTGTCAGTTTCTAGGTTGCTTTGTGTGAGTGAATCAACAGTCAACAGGTAATGAAAATATTTTTATTTTATTGTTAATTACTATTTATGGGTAACTATGACAGTATACTTTTATAGACAGATGATCAACCCTTATCGTATCCACTCTGCACAAGACTAAATATTAAATTTTAAGTTCATTATTGCTGGTCCCACGATATCTTCTAAACGCTATATCTCGTTTGAACATACTATTCACAGATTCGGGTCGAAGCGTTTATTCAAAAGTGATTTTATCACTTTCAGTTATAATAAAATCTGTGGACCTGTGAACTCCCCACTATGCTCCGACCCCACTGTACTGGCTTTTTTTAAATTCTATATGCTTTGTTTAAAACAGTTTGTATATACATTTTATAATAATTTATTAAGTTGTTTTTATGTTTGGTCATTTACTCTTGGTAAACAGGTCATAGTTAGTTATAGTGTTTTAAAAAATCGTTTGATTTTGACATCGAAAAAATGATAAAGTTTTTTACATATTTTACAATTAAAAAGAACACTTTTACATTTTATTATTAAATTCACACCATTTTGTTTCCATTGATTATGTCAGCATTTTTGACAAATTATTACATTTTATTTTAAACATTTACACTATTATTTGATGAAATTGCTCAAAAAGAAACACAATTTTTATATTTTTACAACTTAACTATATTTGTTAACATAACTATAATAAAAATAGTGGTAGTATTATTATACAATTTATTGTGAAATGGGTCTACAAATTACAAAATCATCTAATTAATAAATTAATAAAAGAAGGAACGAACATTTTACTTTAGTAATAATAGTAATCTAAAAAAATTTAAAGGAAAAAATGGTATTCAATTATTATAGGTAGCACACAATATTTATCGAGTATACACTATTAATTCCGCATTGGTAAAAAAATAAAAACAAGTAAATTT